ATCTCGTTTAATACTCTTTCAGAAATAAATTTGAATAACCGCATATTTTATGAAAAGTACCCTATCAATGCAAGAACATCAACGGTATTTAATATTCTTCGTTTTCTTCATTTTTCTTCTTCTCGCTTTTATTCATCTAATTCTGCTTCTCAAACAAAATGCTTAAATGCTACAAGCATCATCGTGCATTAGTTCATGAATTAAATAATAAAATAAAAGTGTATTATCAATCGATACGATTCATATGGGAACGATAGACAGGATTTTATTAGATAAGAATTTCCTTCCGAAACATTATCAATTACATCCTGGGATCTTGATATTAAAATAATTTTGTATGCATAGAAAACAATGTTTTTAATATGCATCGAGCTGCGAACAGTTAAATAGCGAAAATATCTCTCATCTACGCGCGCCCTTCAATATCTCAAGTTTGATAAATTCAAATTACTTTGCAATTTATAATTCACACCAAGTATGAGTATTCGAGAGTTTCATCGATAACGCTGGCATTTCCATCTAACGAGAGTAAGTAAGTTCGGTATGGTACGGTATGGTTTTAAACGTATCGTCAACCGTACCCGCCTTCGATAAAAATGTACAACGCCTTATTTCAAGGCGGTTAGTCCGCAAGAGTAAGCATAATTCACGGAGATAAGAGATGCCGAGGGCATTTGAAAATCGAGGCGAAATGAGGTTGGTCGAATCGCCGATAAGTATAGTAAGCAGCGAGCGAGCTAAATTGAGCGAAACGAATTCCTCGGGACTGAGAGTGGAAACGAGGCCTCGCTAATTGTAAATAAATTAATAAAATGCAAATCTCTCCAAGTGTAATAAATAATCAAGTATCCCATTGTGAAACTGCCCGGCCAAAAAGGACAAATGCTTGTAACGAAAAATACGAATATTCGCATCAGCGAAACGAGGAGTAGCTGACAGGTCTAAGCTCAACGGCCTTACTCTTAAGCTTATTGTTTGCGACAGGGGTGGTGGGGGTATGGGAGGAGGATTATCGTGCCTAGAGTCCTATGATTTCGCGCGGACGCAATGCGACATAATGGAGCACGACGAGGAGCTCGAGTCGACGATCACGCCGTGATTATAAGGAGCTTTGGAGTTGTCGATAGGAAGGTGAACGCGAGGTCGAGGGACTTTATGGCGATTATTAGCCGAATACATTTCCATGGCATTGGCCGTCCTCCCCTCGATCTAGATTGAGATGCCGAGAGACATTAGCGACGATGGGAGCCGTTGTGCAGTTTCACCGAGCACCGACCGCTTCGTTGCTATTCGACCAGCGTCCTTACATTACTACGGCTTGGGATAATAAATAGTAGATCGGCGCATTGCCCCCGCGGCTCATTCAAATCCACAATCCAAACGGATTCCTGCGTTAAATGTCGGACTAATAACGAGCGCGTACTAAAGCTCAAGTCGACTCCTTAAAATAGCCTGCACCATGGATTATGATTGCGCAATGGGAGGACAAAATATGGCAGCTGAGTAGTACCGGTAATACCTGAACCACCGGCTCACCTTATTGCATATCTCGTTTTATTTTTTTTTTGTTTTTTTTTTTTAATTTTTTTTTTTTTTTATCCACGAAATACCTCGTTCAATGCATTCAATAGCAACGCAATCGCTGTCGTATAATTGGAAAATTAGAGGGGCGGAGGGTGGAGATGGAAGAGTAGTTGGCTTGTACATGCGCGAATAATGCGACGGATAAAAGAAGCAATTTAAATGCGTTGTCGGATCACGAGAGCGCTCGGATAATACTGGACACCGCGACTATTATGGCGTCGCTCTCGGCCGTAGGCAAGTTCCGTTTCTTCGCACACACGCGCGCGCGCGCGCGCGAGCACACCTCATCCTTTGTGTTTGATATTGCATCGTGTCGGAGCGACGCTCGTGATTTGACTGTGATCCAATAGTCATTGCCCGTTACTTTTTTCTTCTTTTCTTCTTCAACGTCTATCCTCCTCCTCGTGTCCCTCGCCCCCCCCCCCCCCCCCCCCCCCCCCCCCCCCCCCCCCCCCCCCCCCCCCCCCCGCCGCTATTCCCGTCACCCTCGTTTCTCTGTAACTCTTTTTACATGTTGGACAACACGATTGTAGAGCAGCAAGAACGCGCTACGATCAAAACATAACGGAATGACGCGACATTCCATTGTCTAGTAGCGTTTAATGCCAATAATATTTCATCGCAATACATCATTTCCATCTGCGAATTTCTCTTACTTGATATAAAAGAAATCAGAAAAAATGCATGGCAACTGGGCTAACGCTATCGATCGCCTTGAAAATTTGTCAATCGTTAAGAAATGATGAAAGTAATGATCCTATAACGCGTAGGATAGAAAAAAAATGGCGAACAATAGGAAAACTTTTTAAGAATCGTCATTGCTTTATTTTATTTATTCGTAACGGAAGCATAACGGATATTATAGGTTTCGCAGGCCCATAAATGTGCGGTTTATATGCATAATAAAGTAAAATCAAGGGAAATTTTTTATCATTTCTATTGCAGAATGCAAATGAAGTTTAGTGGTAAAAAAAAATGTAAAACATATTAAGCGATAAATAATTTCCTGTAAATCACGTATAGTAGTCTCGCGATCCACGTCATACGAACATTTAATAAATTAAAATATTATTATTATTGTAAGAAAGATTATGAAATTTTCAAGTCACCTTTTTCCAGTAAATTTCCAAGCTATGAATATATCAATGTTTTCTCAATTCTCTCTCTCTCTCTCTCTCTCACCCTCACTTTTTCATTCTTTATTTCTTTTCTTTTTTTCTTTTCTGTAATTATTCTTTGTATAGTCTATGCAAGTCTTGCATCCACTCTACATTATTTATACAATATGTCTTTATCTAGTTATAGGCTATTTCGAGACCTACGATACCATCTTCATTAATTATACTATTTATAGTAAGAAATGTTACAAGTTCACGTGTAACATTGCACAATATACATATTGTGATTAGCATCGATTATAAGTTCAAGTATGTCGGCTCGTGTAAGGCGAAGCTCACCGACTATGCTATAGAATTTTTTTTTTCAGCGCAAATGTACAATAATTCGCCACGCGTTTTGTAAATGTACAGGGTTGGCGATGATGGTATTTTGCCTGCACCGACGTTGAATTTACTCGCTTAATGTCCAGTAGCACGCAAATTTGATCTCTCCCATCAGCGCGAGGCTAAGATATCTGGCCATTTTACCTCCAATGCACGTCTACGAATAAACATTCTTTTTTTAACGCGCTAAATGCGATGTACATCGATGCTCTGTGACCTCGCAAATCCGAGCATCGCATTTAACCCAATTAAAGGTCTGCGCGCAAAAATAATCATCTTCAAGCCATAATGATTCATCAGCTGCTGCAAATAAATACGCGCGCGCACCTGATCACGTATAAACATATGAGTAATTATACGTATCATGCGAGTTCAAGAACTTTGAAATAATTATAGAATTTACTTCCGTGGCGCAGCATCTTCACATTCTAGTTGGCTTTCGTTAAGAGCTACTAATGTGACTTATTCATTTTATGCAAATTCTCCATTTTTTTTTTTTTCCACTTATAATGTTTCCCGTGCACCCTAAGCGATCGATTGGCCAAGGATCGCGTATCGTGAACTTTCCGATCGAGGGTACTCGTTTTGCAAAAGCTTCGCAAAGAAAAAAACCCCCCTCGTCTCGCCGACAAACTACGCAACTGCGCTGGCTTCCAATTTTCGCGATCGTGAAAGTGGAGAGCCGTGATCTCCCAGAGAGGCCGAAAAAGGCCTCGGGCCCGCTCGCAATTACACCCACAAACGGAGAAAACGAGGCATCGTCGAGGGCGAATAATTCAAGGCTCCCGCGGGCCCCGGGCGCTTTTCCAATTATCCCACGCGCTGCTACCGAATCCGGCAGTCGAGCTCGCGATTTCGTGATCGGCCGAGAAAAATCCGGACGCACGCACAGTCGATTTTCCAGATCCGGCGTCGCTCGCCCCAACAAAGAGCGCAGCGATCGCACGGAGCCTAATGCAAAGGTCGAAAGGGCTGCCATCGGTCTCAGGGCCCTGGCGCCTCCGGCTCTCTTAAGATCTCTCGATTCCTCGGCGCTTAGGTGAGAAGGGCCAGGCGGCGGTGGGACGGAGGACGGCTGGGAGAGGAGCGGTTTGATGGGAGAGCGTCCATCCATTCTCTGTCTATTCTCTCGCGACGGTTCTGTTGGCTATCGCGTGGGAGGCTCCGCATTCACCAGTTCTCGCATTCCTCCCGCGATTCTGGCCTTTTTTCCCTCTTCCCTCGAACTTCCCTCGAAGGTCTTTTTTCACCGAATTTCATCCTCGACGCGACTAATAGAAATATTTACATTCGCTTCGAGTATCAGCTGAGAATAGCCCCAACACGACGGTATCACTCTCTCTCTCTCTCTCTCTCTCTCTCTCTTTCTCTCTCTCTAACACAGAGAGAGAAAGAGAGAGAGAGAGAGAGAAAGAATAAACGAGCAATAATACATGCTTTTACAATATATGCTTAGCTGACTCTAGTCCTAGACTTATGTTTTGCTCTTCTCTCTCTCTCTCTCTCTCTCTCTCTCTCTCTCTCTTTCTCTCTCTCTATCTATCTCTCTGTCTCTTTTGCATATTTATCCCTTTGTCGAGAGATAAGATTGGCAATAATATCGTAGCGTGTATTCGTGAATAATATATTATTTCAAATAAATTTCTCTTCAACGAGTATTCGGCTATTTACACCTATTTGCAATATTAATAAGCTTAATAGTATAAGCGGTGTAGTATTGTTATGTAACAGCAATAGCTAAAGAATGTTCAAGTATAGTGAAACGCGAGTAGCAGTAAAGTATCGCAAACGTGGTAAAAACAAAGATATTTTTTTTTATTTTTTTTACGTTAGAAATAATAATCGATGGTGATTGCACATTATGATACTTCTATGGGAAGGAGAAAGAGAATAGCGATGGAGGATAATACTCACTTGCAATGTGATTCCCCGCGTGGCGACGAGACGCAAACTCCGACATTTTTACAGGGACTCGGTGAGCACGATACGAATCCTGAAACAAACAAAACAAAAATAAATCATCGGTCATGCATCGTCAAAGCTTCTCTTCATCTTGTTTTTGCAGACATGCAAACAGCAATTCATTTTTCTCTTTTCCTTTTAATACGGTTGCCAAGCTAAAATACCATTCGCCTTACGAGGAAATGAAAATCTATTCTTTAGCGTACGTATTCTACATATCCTCCACATGTGGGGCTAATTTAGCTTTCAAGATAACAGTACACACTTCCCCATAGCGTAAATAAATATTTATATCAGGTTGGCTTTACAAGTGGCGAGCCTCTCTCCGAGCCCAGGCCACGACGTCGAGATGAAAAATGGATATCCTCTATCCTCTATCCTCTATCCTCTATATCCCCCCTCCCTCCCTCCCTCCCTCCCTCCCTCCCTGTCCCGCCACCCGGCATCTCACTCGACTAAGTACTCAATTTATAAAAGGAAAGAAAATGAGCGACGCCCTCGCTCATCCTGCACGGAGGTAACGCGACTGCCTCTCGAGCATGGACTACTCGCTCACGGGCGGCAACCGGTTGCACCTCGCTCGCGTCATAATGCAGGACGATCGGCCTCGAGGATTCAATTTCACCGGGGAGCGCCCGTTGGAGCAGCTCGATCCTATCTCTTCGGCCTAGTGCTTTTGCAAAATAAGAGGTTTCTCCGTTTCATGCTTCGCATTATCGTCGACGGGGGCCATCCCTTCGCCTTCCGTGTCTTCTCTAATTGCTTCGTGAGTGTCTGCTGCTTGATTATTGTGAAAGGTCTATCCTTCCACTCGAATTATTGTATCATTCGCGTTACGTTCTCATTGAATTGACATTGTACTCGCAGCCATATTGTAACGTATCTTGTATTATTTATTATCGGATAACGCTGAATGCTCCGATGTATTCACGTAGAGTGGATTCAGTGTTATGCGTCAATGCTTTTAGATTATAATGTCAAGATTCTATTGGTAAAGAAACAATCCACATATACGGAGATGAGTAATTAATATTTTAAAGCACCATTATTTTTAAAATATTAGCAGCTATTGGTGAAAAATGTGCAGGCTATATGGAATTTAACAATTAGTTTATAATTTGAAAAATGTGCAGGCTATATGGAATTTAACAATTAGTTTATAATGTTGCTAAATAGAATAAAACGGTTTATTTTAATGCCTATAAAAGTCATGAGATAAATGATGTCTTAATATTGCAATACTTAAGAGCGCGTTGGAATAAATAAAATTCTTTACCACTATAAAAACATATATATATATACACGGTTTCATTTTGTATAGCGAATTTCTCATCTAGTGATTTCTCAGAGTGCCCGCTGAATATTCAGTTTTGTAATAAAATATTTTTATGCGAAGTAAAATTAAATTCAACCTACAAAACAACCTTAATTTATATTTATGCCCGTGCCAATAAATCTCTATTCTGGCAGTTAAATATTATTTGGCATATCGTACATCTTTTGTCAATACTTGAGAAAATATACGTAAATATTTTTTTTTTATTTATTTTTTTTTTTTTTTTATTTTTTTATAAAATACCAAAGTTAAATATGATCGAGTTACTCTATTAAATGACTTTATCATGTTTTTAAGTTCTTATTAAATGTCTCTTTTCACATCAAACTTTTCACAAGTTTCTCATATTATTGTTGTATTCATCGGGAATACACTGAACTCAAATTGCTCTTTATACACTTGAAATGGGTAATGAGTAAAACTTACCTGCAATCAATTAATAATCATGAGTTGCTTATTGAATAATCAGGTCGATGCAAATACGGTTATCGTAATCGCTCAACATTAATAGCTACTCTGTCATCTGTATTGGAATTATCTTTGAGATTAATGAAAAAGAGAAAAAAGAAAGAAAAAAATTAGCTTGATAAAAATATGTTAAAATTAATTAGCATAAGAGTTGCAATATTCCCATTGGTTCCCTCGCGAGCTCTACGGCAATATTGTAGATAATTGCACTGCACTAAACGCAAATAAAATACTAACGTAGACATTATTAATAATTATTACTTTAATAATACATTGATAATATTGCAATATGTAAATAGGAAAGAATTATTGACACAACGACGTACTGAAAGAAATACGAGGACTTTTGTCTTAATGTAAAATTATCTTTAGCCGCCCAAATAAAGTAAACGTTAAATTAAACTTTTAAACGAACATTCGATGATACAATAGGAAAATATTGTGAAATATATTTTATTGACCCTTTTTGTTCATTTCATGAAACAAAAGCACAAACTTTGCAATAAACCGGAATAATATTAATTTTTTTTTTTTTTTTTACAGAAACCGTCGCATCCTCTAATAACAATAATAGAGATGAAAATACTATTTTTCTCACAACGTTGTTGGAAATCATATTTTTATAAAAGATGAAAATATTAATTAACTTATTCATATATTTAAGAACATTGCTGGATTTCCTTAAGCGATAATTATTTAATAATCTTTTTCTTCTCACGACCGCGTAATGTCTAGGGATTGCCAAAACCATTGAAAGAAAAATCTTTTTTCCTTCGCGTTAACCAAAAAAATTTTTAATAAAAAATTTCACAGTTTGAAATATTATTAAAATCTGCTTGAATGGACGAGGTCAATATTTATCGTAAATTACAGGTTCAACTTGTTTAGATGACAAAATTCGTCACTGAATTAATCTGGCCTTGAGATTGAAAAAGCAAAGCTACAACAAAGAAGGCTACCGCAATGCTTACTGTAATAAATAATTTTCGTTTCATTTTGGCAATTTTCATGAAATTAATCATTCGCATCATGATAAAGCATTCGGTTAAAATACACGAGGGCGCACATTAATTTGATAACGTTATCGCTGAAGCCTCAACGATTATCTCAGGATTCGCACGAGACATCTCATACGAATGACTAGTTACATACGGACAATTTCCTGACAGTCGCTCAAATCTACCATCTTACTTTATCGCTCTGCTCGGGCGCATTCCTACCGCATGTACAATCGCAAGGTGGAAAATCTTAAGAGTCAAAGTGCGAGGAAAAACCGGCAACTGTGGAAAAGGCGAGGGATGGGCCCAAGGCGAGGCCGACAAGATGGATCGAAACGGTTAAGCGAGGCTGCCTGGCCGTTTAACGAATCCTTTTCAACGAAGCCGCATTTTCCCGTGAGTCTATCCTTGCTGACTCGTGATCCTGCAGTCTCGGTGGAATCTTGAAAAATTAGCCGCGCGCGACACATGCAATGTGTGCTTGTGTGCGACCTCTCTATTAATTTTCTCCCTACAAATCGTGGATTCGCGCTTTTGCCGCGCTACTATTGCACGGTTTGCGATTAATTATTTTTTAAATTGTTGCATATTAAAATAGTGAAACGATGTGAATATGGATTAATAACTGGACTACGTGTCTCTGACAGGCATGTATTTGCCGTCGTGAATTGAGATACGTAATACGCTGGGAAAAATTTCTACGTTATTTTTTTTTTTTTTTTTGTACCTTCCTCGTGGATACTTGGCGTGCCGTGTAATAAAAGTAAACTTTAATCGGGCATTTAATAAATCTGGTATATTAAATGCCGGCAATAATTGTACACACGTGATCGTGCGGCAGTTAATTTGACACGTTATTTCGAATCATTTCGCAACGCCCCTAGACAATGGTACCCAATAAAAAAGTTAAGTCATTTTATCGCCTTGTGCGAGTTCGTTACGAATTCCCAATCGAAACGCTCGTTTCTCACATGCAAATTATCCTGATCCAAAGTTTAACGAGTACGGGCGATTTCCTTGTTTGCCGTTGCACATTGTCGTTGTCGTTGTCGTTCTCGTTGTCGTTGTTTCTGTTACTGTTGCTGCTAGTCATATTGTTGCGAACAAACGCAATGGTATTTTTCGCTATTACGAGAATTAAACATTAATTGTATCGGTAAAGAAACTAAAAAGCAACGAGGCGAGGAGGGAAAGAAAAGATTGGGCTCTCAGCTTAGCACACCTTTAACGTATAATTCTCCCGAGTTGTTGGCAAAATGAAATTGAGGGAGAGAATGAGTGAGTGAGTGAGAGAGAAAGCGGCCATTAGCTAGGCACGAAACGCATGTTCCTCCGGGCAAATCCGTAACCGCCCCATAAACATGTCCGAGGCCTTACGCAAGCGGATGACATTTTCACACGTTCGATCTCGAGGAATTAACATGGCCTAGTTCGATTAAATTAACCTGCGCCGCGGAATAACGAGATGACTTACGACTATTCCTCCCGATTTTACCGGCGCTGCCTTAACCTCGAATACACGCGAGCATTTTTGTCATTTCGAGAGTTAGTTAACGTCCCGCTGAACGCTCGAGCTCTTGAGGTTTATTATGGAAAAATGGACGTCGTAAAGTTTAGTGCTCCAAGGGTCTACGACTACTCGAGAGAGATTTTATTGGGAAACGTTATTGCTCAGGTGTATATAAGACAATGGGTTATCTTTACTTTGTATTATTATATCTTGGACAAAATATTATGAATGAAGCCTGGCATTTAAGACATGTCTCTTTGCGTCTGTTTTTTTTTTGTTTTTTGTTTTGTTATGTTTTGTTTCGTTTTTTTGTTTTGTTTTGTGTTGTTTCGTTTTTTCGTTTTGTTTTGTGTTGTTTCGTTTTTTTTGTTTTGTTTTGTGTTGTTTCGTTTTTTTTGTTTTGTTTTGTTTTTTTGCTTTATGCTTTAGTGAAGGAAGACGCGGCATAATGGATAAATTAAACTGCACTTTTAACTAGCTGCGGAGACTTTTACCAAAGTGCAATTCATCTTCGCAACGAAGCAACAAATACGGCGCATAATCAAGAGAGCAAAGATCGAATAAAAAACAATTGACGCCAAAACCGCAAGTACTGTAGTTTAATCCATTAAAGCCAAGCGGTACGGAGAATAGGTCTTTGCTGTCAATGTCGCCAGATAAGTTATCCGTATTAAGGTGAAGCAGCGAGAGACAGAGAGAGAGAGAGAGAGAGAGAGAGA